TAGAACCTTCTAGATTATGGGCTTCTAATGGGCATCCACTAATTGGGTTTATAACAAAAAGCTTTTTATAAATGTAAGGTGAACAAGTATTTGGAAACATTAAAGTCCTTTTAATGTAAATTTTAGAAACTTTCAAAAGATTATGACTAGTTTTGCCTCTGCATGTCATTTGATCTCCACCCAGTCATGAAGTAGTTAAAAAACTGGATTGGATTTGGTTGAGGTCGGATTCTTGTCTGGTGCTCATGCGCTTAAGGAGAATTTCCATTAAAACCAAAACTAATGTTTCCATTTACGATTCTCTAAAGTATAAAATGATTTAAAAGAAAGAAGTCTTCTCCGTTACTGAATAATAAAGGAACAAAAACTAAAGGAAATTTTTCGTAATTGGCCCTTCTTGTATCTGTCTTTACAAACTTATTACAATTTCTTATCAGAAACCACGAGACATGAAAGAGAAACATTCAATATGAGGTATGTGGATTTTGGCCCTTTTTAGTACCAGGGTGATGAATAGCATTTTCAGACATTTTCTTAGATTTATCAACTTTCTCTATTTTCTCCCTCCTCGAGGCATAGTCATCGAGAACATGCTGTGGCGGATCATTTCTTTTCTTGCCTTTAGCCTTTTTCTCAGCTAATCGCCTATTCTTTACAAGCCTGAGGTAATCCTCTCTAGTCTAAAAGAACATAAAAAAATATTTCCAACAGTAAGCAATTACCATAATCCTAAAAAAACCTGAAACAGAGTAATGATCAAGAGATTAAGTGGTTCGTGAAAGAGACGGGAAACATCATTCAATATATCATCCAAGAGATACTCATTCTCAGCAGTAGCAAACATGATGGAGACGCCAAGCAATGCATCCTCATCATCAACATTCTGCTCTGACTCAACCAAAATTCCCTAGCATAAAATGATGAAACAAAGAAATAAGAAAGCAGTAGCTATGAAACCAGGTCTCATCAATCAATATCAAAACATTATCACTAAAAACAATAGAAGAAGATGATTCAGATGAAAAGGAAAACAAAATTCAGAACAAGGCTGAGTCTCTAGTCCAGAAAACAAAATTGTTACTTACTGAAAAAGTTAAAAAAAAAACAGTAGATATGAAAAAAGTTCAAAAACGTACATACCTCATTGTCATCAATACATACCTCATTGTCATCATTCAATTAAAACAAAATTGCTGAAAAGGTTCAAAATTTGCACAATTGGCGACGGCTCGCAATTGTGCAAATCAATTAAATTTTAGATCATTTTTTCGCATCTTTGTTTATTCTCATAT